TGATGTTGATGGTGATGGTGGTGGTGATGATGTTGATGGTGGCCATGTTGATGGTGGCCATGGTGATGGTGGTGGTGATGATGATGGTGGCCATGGTGATGGTGGCCATGGTGATGGTGATGATGCTGATGGTGGTGATGATGATGGTGGCCATGGTGATGGTGATGGTGGTGGTGATGATGTTGATGCTGACGATGGTGGTAATGATGGTGATGATGATATTATTGATGGTGTTGGTAGGGATGTTGATGGTGGCCATGGTGATGGTGGTGGTGGTGACGTTGATGGTGATGGTGGCGATGATGGTGATGATGACATTGATGGTCATGATGATGATGACGGTGGTGGTGATGACGATGATGGCGCTGCTGTTGACTTGGGGCTGGCCTCCCCAAATTGAAACCAGACCCACAAGGTCAGTGTCCCGTTCCAAGGTCCCGACCGCTTTCAGAAAAGACGTGGAGATGGGAACTAGGAAGCCGGTTGCTGCAAAGCTTCTCTCATTTCTCCAGTGGCAGGGCGGCACAGAGAAATCATCTCGTTTCCACCCAGAGTTGCGAAGGCTCGGAGGTGGACACTCCCACCTCCGTGTTCGGAGGTGGACACTCCCACCTCCGTCGCTTGGTTGGGCCCTCGTAGCCCCGAACATTTTTAGGACGAGAGTTTTCGAGTCTGCACTGTGTCCCCACCCTTCCTGCCTGGCTTCCTCAGACATCAGCACCCCTCAGCAGACTCTGGTGGACACTCCCGAAGTAGCCTTGAGCAGAAACGCGTTCTCGCCCCTTTGCGTCAACCTCTGCCCGCTCCTCCCGCTCCGTCTCCCTCTCCCGCCCACCCCACTCGGCTGCCTCATTAGTGCAAGCAGCGCAGCCAAGCCTGTCTGCTGACCATTCCAGGAATGACCTCCATCTGGAGAGTTATTTTCCCATTGGGCCGGGATCTAACAGAAAAAAGGGAACATCTTTTGACGGCCGTTCTCTGCAGTTTTCCGACCCGGGCTTATGAAATAGTGTCGTTGCAGCTGCAGAGAAATTACAAACAAAGCAAAACAAAATCTGGACAGAACGTGCTCACTTGCGAAGGGTCAGAGTGACCGAGGGAAACCGTGTTCGGAGGCGCGTGCTGTGGGGCTTCTCGGTGGACACTCTGGCCAGGAGGTCCACGGGGACCCCCAGATACCTCCGGGCCGTTGCAGCGCGTGGGAACGTGACCGTGTTGGAATTCAGCGGTCCAGTCCGCGCTCTCTGTGCTCGAGGACCGTGTTGCGTGTCTCCCGGCTGGCGTCCGTGTTGAGACACGTGTAGTTAGAAGCTCCGAGTGTACCCACAGCCCACGCCGGTGGGCTGCAGACGCCAGATGGCTGAGGCTGCGTGGACAAGTTTGGTGTCTTTTAGCTGAACCAGGCAGTGCTCACCGTCACCCCGGTACCTGCTTCCGACACCTGTGCCCCCATGTTTCTGGCTGCTCTGTTTACAACAGGGAGGACGTGGAATCCACCCAGATGCCCCCAAATAGATGGCTGCGCTAAAAAGAGGCGGCCCCCCCACATACCAAAGTGGAATACTATGCAGCCGTCAAAAAGGAAAACCGTGTGCCTCTGGCAGCCACGTGGATGGGGCCGGAAGGCGTCACAGTCAGTGAAATTAGCCAGAAAGGAAAAAAGAAAAATACTGGATGGTTTCACTCATAGCAGGAGCGTACGGGATCGGGACAGGGGTGGGGGCGCGTTGAGAGAAACAAATGTAATAGAGTAAAAATGAAATCAGTGAACAACTATAACCCAGAGACATTTTAGGGGGGTGGAGAGGAGAACGGGGTCGCAACTGGGATGGGAAGAGCCCACGGACTACGGTGATGCCACACGGGCGAAGTGACGGGTCCTCCTGGAGCAGGCCGAGCTCGCTGGATGTGACGCTGGACATGGACAGGGAGGGAAGAGGACGGCTGAGGCCGGTCCCGCCCCGGACGTCCCCCGGACAACCCACTGGGACCTACGTGCGCCATCTTGGGCGGCCGTTGGCTGCGACCACCTCGTCCGCGGCGCCTCGTCGCCACGACACCTGGGGCCGCCGCCTTCGTGTCTGAGTTTTAAGTGATCGTAAGACACAGGGTGCAGCCGCGGTCTCGTGTGCAAGGCGTTCGTACGGACGGGCTGTCCTGCTGCAGGCTGGGCGGGACGGGACCTCTCAGCACCGCAGCCCGTCCCCCCATGTCCTGCACGGCGGCACCCTCGTCATGTCAGAAAAGAACAAGCTACCTGCTCCCGGGTGTGGCCGTGGACGACGGCGTGTCGGCTCCTCGCTGCTGCCGGCGGTCGGGCTTGCCACCTGCAGCGCCGTCAGGACCTCGTGGCGCTTGCTGGCTTCTGACTGGCAGGTGTCGTGGCCGGGGTGGTGGGACGTGGGGATGGGAGACGGAGCAGCAGATAAGAGGAAGCAAATAAAAGGAAACAAATGAAAGAAACAGCAGCGGCGGCATGGACACACGGTAGGAGAGACGAGCGACGAGCGGAGAAGACTCAGAAGCGGGGCGCGTCGTGAAATCACGGGGCGAGCGCGCTTTCACTAATTGCAAACTGGCGGCTTGTCTCTGCAGAGGGGAGAGGGAAGCCTGTAATTAGGACTTCTGCAAAGCTACTTTTCAGAATCGCTCTCGGCATGGGGCTGGCGTCCTTTTTATGCCTCGATAGTGTTTTAATTCTTCGCAGGGGCTTGGAATGCCGCTGACATGTGTTTTCGTAAAAAAAGAAACATTTCTCTTATGCCTGTCCATGCTTTCGGGGTGGGGGAGGCCCCGCCTCACACAATAAGGGCTTTGAAAAGGGTTTTGAACAATGTAGCCTCCCGCTCAATGGGAACTGGGATAATTGACCGAAAATTGCTGGGAATGGGAAGCCACAGTAGAACTCTACCAGGGTGGTGGGAGTGGGCATGGCACGTTCTCTGCTCCAGAAACGAGGACGTTTGAGTCGGGGACTGGGAGCAGCTGCAGGAGTGAGGCTGGACCCGAGACCTAGCTTCTCCACCTCCTGCCCTTCCCCTTCGCGGATGGACACCTGACCTCTGCCCAAGCCTGTGCCCTGGACAGGCCCACGGACGGATATGGGGGTGGGGGGGGTCTTCTCTCAGTGCGTGCCAAGAAGGAGCTAGACGTGCTGGCCCTCTCTGGGAGCAGACTCAGCTCTCTCTGGGGCACGGGTCAAGCAGCTGGAGACCCCCCAACCCCGCCCCCAGCCGGACCCTTCCTCCCCCCGCCCCACCAGGGTCTGGGCTTCTCCCTGGGCTGCAGATTCTCGTCCAGCGAATCCAGGCTCTGCAGGCTCATGGCCGAGGGGTGCTGTGGACGGTCAGCTGTGCATGCTCTACCAGGGGGTGCCCCCTCACAGTCGGGGGGCAGGGGTGGGTGGGGCGGTTACCCCTGCACCCGCCAGACCCGCTGCCCGCACAGATGCCGTCATTTTCCCATCTCAATTTACCGCACACCTCTAGCTCCTGTTCTGCAGCTCCCCTGACCCGCTGCCGGCCGCTGGCCCGGAGAGCTGCTCAGTGCAGGTGCCGAGAGGCCAGGGCGGAGCGTCCCCTTTCAGGGCCCCCAGCAGGTTCTGGAAAGGCCGCGCCGGCCGGACCGGCATCCAGTGGCCGTCGTTCTGGCAGGCGGCTCCCCCCTGTGCTCTTGCTGCAGACGCTGGCGGCCGGGGCACCCCGCCATCATTGCCAGACCGCAGCTTCGTGTTCACACTCAGGGGTCCCCGTCGTGTGGAGCTCAGCTGCCCCGGCCGCGGCATCCCAGCCTGGGGGTGCCGGGGGGGCCCTTTCCGGACTGGGCAACGGGTCTCCCTGCTTCCCTCCGGCTGTGCCCGCCTGCGTTTGCCCTGCGGGATCACGTTCCAACTCGGCAGCCCCTAACCTGTGCTCGCAGGCCAAGCTGCCCTTTACCGCGGGGTTCCTCCCTCCCTGTGCCAGCTGCTCCCCACTTATTTCACTGATCCCTTCCGGCCCCATCCACGTGGCTGCCAGAGGCACGCCTTTGTCCTTTTTGACGACTGCGTAGTATTCCACCTCGGTATGCGGGGCCATCTATTTTTAGCACGGCCATCTATTTGGGGGCATCTGGGTGGATTCCACGTCCTCCCTGTTGTAAACAGCCAGAAACATGGGGGCACAGGTGTCCTTTGGGTAGATCCCTACGGGTGCGGCTTGCCGGGTCACACGGAAGCGGGTACCGGGGTGACGGTGAGCACTGCCTGGTTCAGCTAAAAGACACCAAACTTGTCCACGCAGCCTCAGGGCGAGAGCGCAGG